CACTATCTCCTCTCTCTCTCTCTCTCTCTTGTTTTTTTTTTCTTCTCTCTCTCCATCCCTCCCCTGTCGTGGGGTCAGTGCCAGCTGTAGTCCCTATGCATAACAAGGTTTATTTCATGCTTCCAGTACTTTGAACGGATGGCGTCCTCCACCACCAGACGCCGTGCCAGCCCCATTGCCTGCACCTCATGTTCCAAGAAATATCTAACGCAGTTGTCCAACGGCTGCTTCGTTATGGCTTCCGCAGCTGCTTCGTCCCCCTCTGCGTACTTCTTGGGCGGCAACGTCTCGTTCACCTGGTCTCGTTCCGCGTCAGTGAAGTAACAGCACCACAGCTGCTCAAGCAGTACGAATAGAAGGTGATAACGTGCCGCATATACCTGGTGCACATTGTCCAGCAGATACTGGGAGCGGCACAGGAAACTTTCCAGCAGCGTTGCCTCATCACCTGCAGACACACTTCTTCGGAGCTCTTCAGCATGTGAAGTGACATCGTCCCTCAGCACACAAAGCTGCTGCTGGACAAGAGAAAATGTTCCCAAAAACACATCCCACGGAACCTTCTCCTTCAAACACATGTAATGCGACGGTAGAGGCGCCATGGAAGAAATTGACACCTTGTCTGCAAGGTAATTGTACGCTCCTGTCGCATTGCTGGAAAGATAAAGCCGAAGTGCGGCGGCCTGGTAGATGGTCGCAATCCCGCGGGCGTGAACAAATGAAGACTCATTGCATGGCTCATAAACACACCACTGTAGGGCGTAATGCATCTCATCGAGACATAAGTGTCGCAGCACCGTATCCACGTCCTCCAGAGACTGCAGTGAACACGTTTGCAAAGACGCCCTAATGAGGTCACGGTCAAATAAGTAAAAACGGTGACACCACGCTGAGTTGTTGAGGCAGTCATCTCTTATAAGGGTTGCGGTGTAGTCCAATTCGTCCTTCAAGCCACAGGGAGGGATAGGAGGTCCCTGACACTCTTCCTCCCACATTTCTTGCACTACGAATGCTCGCAGAGGCTCTGTGCTCTTCCCGGCTTGGTCCGTCATTGTGGTGTAGTCACCCAGCAGCGCCGGCCACGATGGGGGCTGAATGAGAAACGGAAAAGTGTGCACAAACCATGATCGATGCAGCCACACATGGTAGTTTTTATGGTCTATTTTAAATACCTCACCGCAAATAGCTCGTTCATCAATGTCTGCGAAACAAATGTTGTGGTGCTGTATCAGATAGCGATTGAAGAGTTCCATAGAAGCAAGAAGTGAGGTGTGGGACGGAGACTCAGTCCGTGCGAGAGCCTCCAGCAACAGTTCCTTTCGATGATGCCACACCTGAAAGTTTTTATGGTTTCTCAAATTAAAGTCCTCTACAGCTTGGAATTCCCAACGCACCGCCCGCCACACGCTGAACGAGCCGGTGGGCCCTTTCAGGTTTGCCTCAAGTGGTAGCCAACTCTCCAGAATAGGCGTCAGTTCCCCACAGCGGATGTTGTTTCCGCCGTGGAACTCATCACTGCCTCCCATTTCCGCAAGCAAGCTTTCCCGCGTGGATCCTAGAAGGCGCGCGGAGTCCAAGACGACGTCACGACGGTCCTTCCACGCAGTGTAGTGTGAATGGCACTGACGTAGCACAAATGCCGTCAGCAGAAACCATCTCGCTGACGGCGCAGCGCGAAATGCACCACTAAACGTCCCCCTCAACGTCCGATATAGGCCCATAACACGGTCAAAGTCTTTTGAATATTGAATTCGCAAGAGATCCGGTTGCTGTGTTGACATGGGCTCCTCCGTTGGTGCAACATCCTGAAACAATGTGCACAACGATTCAATGTTCAAAAGCAGGTCCAGCCGTCCCACATCCCCACAGGAAGAGATAGAGGATGACATCGTCGTGAACGACGAGGAAGTTGATGCTGCTCTCCCCCTGGCACGCGCCTCATTGGATGGTTGCATGACGTGTGATGATGTCTGTGCCACTGTGGGTTGTATGTCTGCCTGTCTCTCTCTGTGTGCTTCCTGTAACCCAACCCGAGTGTTATTTCCCTCAATGCGGTCTCCAGCCGCAAACAGCCTTCCCAAAAATAAAAATAAAAGGGATCGCGTAAACGCAACAAAGGTGTGACTGCACAACCAAACAACACAGGGGGACGATGTGTCTTTTGCCTCGACCCTCCAGACGTCATTGAAGCTGACGTTCTGCCTGCCGTCGCTCTCCCCGCTTCGCATTGCAGAGCGGAAGAGAAGCGCAGACTCAAAAGAAAAAAAAACGGAAAAAAAACGAGGTGACGATGCAACGACCGTCAGCTTCCACACCACGGCGTCTAAAAAAGATAGAGTGACACTCCCTCCCCGAACGAAAAAAAAAAAAACCACATCAAAAATTCATTTTTTCCCCATATTTTTATTTTCCTAAGTTGCCTTGTCGTACGCGCCACGCCTCCACAGCCACCAGTTTCACTACCAAGTGCTCTTCGGTTGGATTTTTTTTGTTTCTCTTCTCCCCCAGGCCCCCTGTCCGTGCCCCACTGGAGGCGACTCCGGTACGCGCCTGCTCCGCTGAGAACGACAGCCCAAAATAAAAAAAAAAATGTACCGCCCGAAAAAAGGGTCCAGCAACAACTAAAGACAACAATATCAACAAAAAATGCACCAACAGGCGAGATCAAAAACAAAAACCAAGGATGAAGATCACGCAGAGGGAAGGGAGAAGGCAGTGGGTCCGCATACATAAGGCTTCACCATCACCATCACCACCACCACCGTCATCATCATCATGCCGCGCTTCGTTCGCTCTTCTGTTCACTCCGCAAGGAATCCCCATGTTCATTGCTGGTGTGTCGGGTGAGGCCGCCTCACTTCCCACACCAGCACGGTGTAAGTGGCAAGGTACCTGCCGCTCACCACCACAGTGAACGGAGGAACCCTCGCTTGGTTTTGATTGTGACGCACCCCCACCCCCACCACCTCCATCCTTCTCCTGCGTGCGTGTGTTTACCCCCACAAATGTGCCCCTGGATGCATACACCAGCTTCCCACATAATTTCTGACTATATTTCATTTCTATTTTGTCTGCAAAATAAAATTACGCACTAGTCTGCACCAGCAGTAAATTTTTTTTTCTTTTCTTTTTTCTTCGTCTTTTTTTTTAAAAAAAAAGTCTGCTTATTTCTGTGTGTTCTACACTCAGCGTCATTTCCTTTCGGTGGATGAAGCGATGCCGTACACCAGCGACACCTACAGACATCACGTCCAGCCGTTCGTTTTTCATCTGCCGTACAGATACCCATCGAATTCTCCATTCACCAAACATAAAAGAGAGGAAGATGCACGCAGATATGCAGATATTAAAGGAGTTTAGCAAAGAAGTCGTTGCCCTTGTCATCAACAACAATAAAGGCGGGGAAGTCCACTACATCAATGCGCCAAACCGCCTCCATTCCAAGCTCCGGATACTCCAAAATTTCAACCTTCTTGATGTTATTCTGCGCCAAGATCGCCGCGGGCCCACCAATGCTGCCGAGGTAGAAGCCACCGTACTTCTGACAGGCGTCAGTCACCATCTTTGAGCGGTTCCCCTTTGCAAGCGTGATGAAGCTGCCACCGGCAGCCATGAAGGGTGCAACGTAAGAGTCCATGCGACCCGCTGTTGTAGGTCCAAAAGAGCCGGAGGCCATCCCCTTTGGAGTCTTTGCTGGGCCGGCATAGTAAACCGGATGGTCCTTCATATACTGGGGTATTGGCTCATTGTTATTCAAGCGCTCCATGATCTTCGCGTGGGCAATGTCGCGTGCCACAACGACCGTCCCGGTCAGGCTGAGGCGGGTGGTAACAGGATACTGACTGAGCAGCTTGCGGATCTCGCTCATCGACTGGTTCAGATCAATCTCCACCATATTCGTGCTCAGCGAGGAGAGCGGCACGTCCGGCAAATATTGTGCAGGATCTTGCACAAGTCTCTCCACAAATAAACCCTCCGGTGTGATCTTTGCAAGTATCTGGCGGTCGGCGCTGCAGGAGACCCCCAAGCCAACGGGGCAGGACGCACCATGGCGTGGCAGACGAATTACACGGGCTTGGTGAGCGAAGTATTTCCCACCAAATTGTGCGCCGATTCCGGACTTGCGAGCAACATCCATCACAATCTCCTCCCACTCAAGATCACGGAAGGCGCGACCGTACTTATTACCAGTTGTGGGCAATGAATCGTAATAACGGCAGCTGGCAAGCTTCACCGTCTTCATCGTCATCTCCGCACTTGTGCCACCAATGACCAGGGCAATGTGATACGGGGGGCACGCCGCCGTGCCTAGGCCTTTGATTTTCTCCTCAATGAAGGCTCTGAGAGACTTGGGGTTCAGGAGTGCCTTGGTTTGTTGGAAAAGTAATGACTTATTTGCGCTGCCGCCACCCTTTGCAATAAACATAAAGTGATACTCATTTCCTGGTACTGCCAACAGATCCATCTGCGCAGGCAGATTATCTCCCGTGTTCACCTCCTTAAACATATCAAGCGCCGCTGTCTGGCTGTAGCGAAGATACCGGTTCACGTAACAATCCCAAATACCTTTGGAAAGGTACTTTTCATCTTCTCCGCCTGTCCAACAGGTTTCACCGCGTTTTCCGAGAACGATCACAGTCCCAGTGTCCTGGCACGATGGAAGTACACCACCAGCGGCAACGCAGGCGTTCTTCAAGAGGGTATGTGCAACGAAGCGATCATTGTCAGAGGCCTCGGGGTCCTCAAGGATGCGCCGCCATCCAGCAAGGTGATCCCGGCGGAAGAAGTGGTGTACATCGGCCAAAGCCTGTTGCACCAGCACAGTGAGTGCCTCGGGTTTAACCTGTAAAATCGTTTTCCCGAGCGTCTCCATCGTCTTGACATAATCACCCTCAATCTTGTAGTACTCAGTCTCGTTGTGGTGCGGGTCTGAGGGTTGGAAAATCGGCTCGTAGTGAAACTCTGGTACTGCGACCTTTGTATCCTCAATCGCCTTGGCGTCACGACACTCAGATGCCAAACCGCATTTTTCACACAGGCTCATAAGCTTAATATATTTTATCTTTTTAATTTTCTTTGATATGTTTTTGACTGAGTGAATTTTCCTGAAAAAGCTTGGGTCAATGCCACTTTCTGGGTCCCAAAACCAATGCGGTGAAGAGAATAACCTCAACCTACCCCAGTATGCAGTCAGGGGAGCAGACAACAACACATAAAGGACACAAGAGAGAAAAAGTGAGAGAAGGGCCTTCACATGGGTTCTCCCTTCCTTTATATATATATATATACACACACATACACACACTAACACAAGTCGTTGTGTGCATCCCAAAGTGCCGCCCTTGCCCCACGAGGTGCAGTCTTTTACCCGCATTCCAAGGCAAAGGTGCACCCCTCCCCTCTACAAACAACAATAATAATAACGGCAACACAAGAACCAAACTCTTGAGGTCTTACTGTATACACGACTCCCAAACGGTACATGTGCAAATGTAACCTATGGAAATTGTGCACTTACGATATGTGTAGCCGCGCCCCTCCCTGAACATTTTTTCCAGCTGGTTCGTGATTCTAAGAGAGAAAAAAACAATAACAAAGAAACTAACACAGTAAAAGGGTACAACACACCTAATTAAAACAATACAAAAAAAACAAGCCGAAAGGATCAACTAACATACGGCATCCGAAATAGCTCCGGAAGGCGCTCCAGAATGTCATTCTGAACAGCACGCATGTTTTGTAACTCCCGCAACCGCGCCTCTGTTCGTGCAGGAAGTGGACCAACCGTCACATCCTGAGCACCACAGATATCTTCAAGAGCGCTTGTTGTACGACGGTACATCTCCAGTGTGAGCTCAGCCACCTCTCCAATGCACACCGCAAGGTCCTTCCCCGCCATGGCCTTGATAGCCTCTAGCAGCAGCTTCTTCGACCGCGCAAGCATGAGGCACTCCGCTTCTGGACGCGTGTGGAGGTTACTGGAGGGAGTGACAGCGTTGAAAGTGTTGTTCGCGTCGGCATCCCGACACATCACACCGTTTATCTGAAGATCCCTGTTCTCCCGCTGCAGTTTGATGATTTGCTCGTCTTGCAATACGATATGCACCTGCACCCCCTTCAACTCTTCCTTAAGTTCCATGACCTTATTGACGAGATCAATGTTTGCACGTTCAACCTCATCCCGGTCCCGCACGCAATTCCACAGGAAAGCACACCCCCGTTCTTTCTCTTCATCAAAAGTCACAATACTCTTAAAGGCGTCCACCAATATCCGACGGTACTCCTCCTCCACGTTCCCACCCCAGGCACTTGCTACCAACTGACGGAGCGCCACCGTCTCAGCTCGGAGTGGCGCAACGGCGGAGAGGACGGATAGTAAGGACCGCATCCACGCCTTTGCCGCATCAAGTCGTTCCCGTACGAGAACCTCAAGAGCCGCGCCCTCACACTCCAGCACGCGCCGCATTAAGGTGTACTCTGTGTCTAATACATCGGAGTTCCGTGATGCCTCCCCTGGCAGCGAGTGAAGGGCGGTTGCAAGTAGCTTGGCGAGTTGGTTTTGTTGATGCTGCTTATGCACAACCTCAAAGGAAAGCCTTTTCTGCTCATTAGCGGCACCACATGCTTCTGTACTGCGCATCACCACAACGTGGCCAAACCACACTAGAAGTCGTCTACAGAGGTGCTCTTTGACTGTTCGCAAACGTAATATCTCCATCATCTTTTCTGCTCGAAGCTTCCCCATTCGTTTCTGCATCATAAATTTTTCCCGCAAAGACTTCACCATTGCATTCAAGACGTTATTCTGCGCCTTCAGGCAAGCCGAATCCTCGGTCAATTCAGTCATCAAATACTTGATTTGCTTAATGCGTTGACTCACTTCATCTTGCAGTGCCTCGTTTTCAGTGCGCAGCGACGATACATTCGACGCAAGCAACGTGAGGAAGTTCCCAACGCTTCTGTTACCGTGCATCCCAGAGGCAGAAAGTGCCGCTTCAGCAACTCGCAACCCCCGTTTTAGTTCCTCAGCCTGAGCCGCAAGAAGAGGCAGAAGCAAGTCCCCGCACTGCGGCAGATCAGCTTTCACGAGATAGACGCCATCGAGAATTCTAAGGATGGTTTGACATGCCCCCTGAAGTTCCCGCATTTCAAACGTTTTGTCTTGCATTACCCTTCGCAATTCTCGAAGGATCTCCACCGGTTCCTGCGAAATGGATCCTGCCATGGGAGAAGAGACTTTAACATGGTCAAGCTTTCTCACTTCCAAGTTATTCACCACCAGCGCCACCGGCTTCCGTTTGGGTTTTAGGCATCGTGAAAGATTCAAGGGACACTTTTGTGATGTGGCGGTGAGGGAGACTTTCACTTCATCAATCAGTGCGGCAGACTCCGTCATGACCACCTTCAGCTCACACATTTTTTCCTTTAGGTTGGGTATCACCTGAGATAGCGTTAACTTGCCTTCCTCCTGTACTCCAAGTGCTACCCTGGCGGTGCTAATGGCGTCACCGGTGTCACGGCAGATCAGTGCGAGCTTCTCTCCCACCCTCGCACTCTTAACTGCACTCCGCTCCTGATCCATAATATCGTCGTCGCTATCAGTCTCTTCCGTGCCACCAAGAGCTTCAATGCCACGCCGCATCACACCTCGAAGCTCCCTCACTTCCTTTTCCTTGCCCCGGATGTAGCCCTTCACACTACGGACAACCACCTCTGCCCATTTAACCGGGTCGTCGCGAAAGCCTGCTAGGGGTGCTAAAATATTCAAATTGCCGCGGACGTTGTTGTCAGTGCGAGGGGAATCAGGAAAAAATTGACGGAATTCCAAGTAAACTTCATTGTACGCCTTACTAACCTCCTTGAGTCGGTTAAACACTTGAAAGACGGCATTTACAAGGTGGTCATGCGTCTCAATAACCGACACCTGTAAAAAAGGGAAATTTCCCCCGCAAGAGTCGTTTATACCGGTAGATGGCAGCTGGTTTTTCCTCACACTCTCCCAGCTCAGTAGTTGACGCAAATGTGCAAATGTGTTAGCAGCCGCCTCACTCTCGCGTAGCATCTCTGTCGCAAGCTGTTGCTCTTTCATCCCCCCCGGCACAGCGCCAGTAGGTGCAGCTGACCATCCCTGCAACACCGCGACAGCATCCTTCACGGCTTTGGCAAGTATCATCTTTTTTTCTCTCTCTCGCTCTGCCAAACCCTTCTGCTCCAGGAAGCGGCTTTCGCACTTCGTCAGCGTCTCGTGCATCTGTCCCAACGCCCCGCAGAACAACTGTAACACACTCGCGGTGGAAGGACCATCTGCCACCAGTCGATGCTCCCGTAACAAGTGGTCCTGTATCACCTTCAGACTCTCTCTCCCACCAAGACTCTCTTCCAAAACTGCAGAATCACTGTATGAGTCCCACCGAAGCAGCGGCCAACTCATCTCCTCTACTGCAGCCACTACGGATGGAGATTCAGCAAGAGACGTTTGGTTGGCCAACGCCAAAATCCGTGACGCCCCCTCTTGCAAAACCCTAAAAACAAAGACAGCCACACTCTTGGTGTCGTGCAATGCCTCCTTCAACTGCGCAACAGTGTCGTTCATTTCAGTGGCTCTCTGGCACGCAAACTCTACAACGGCTTTAAATCCTGTCAGAGGCACAGCATCCTCTGGGAGTGTCCTCCGAAGTTTTTCAAGCACATCGGCCACGTCCTCAAATTCAGTCAGCAATCGAAACGGTAGCTCACCTCCTTGCTGTATCGTCTTCTTCGTTGCATGTGTCATTGCATCATACGTTACCTTCGCACTCGTTCTTGAAAATCTTTTGATAACAGTTTCTGCGGCTGTGTTGATGTCTGTTAGCTTCTTTTGTTGTTCCATGTTACGTACCTGAAGTTTCTCTGCGTCCTTCTTAAGTTTCTTGATGGTGCTCTGGTGTTGCTGAAGCTCAGCTTCGAGCTGTGCAATATGTTCCGTCTGGCGCTTACTGCTGCATTCTAGCTCACTAATCCATGATGTAAATGTTTTCCTTTGCTTTTGGAAGATAAAGTAGCACCACTGACAAAAAATCTCGCGTTGTTGAGTTTCCGTCAACTTGCTGTGAAGGAGCGCAACATTCTTCTGCCGTCGTTGCCGCTGCCGTCGGAGCCAAAGACGCCATCGTGCCAAGTAACGGCGGCCCAAGTTGATAAAGTCTTGGGCGCGGGGAAGCAGAACAATCTTTGTAGGTACACGCTGACCAGAGCGGATGCTCACTTGGCGCTGTGTGAAGCCGAGCCAACGAATGAAGTAATCCATCACCATCTTTCTGGTGGCCTGATGCTTCAGGAGGACGGCACATCGCTTAAGATGAGTGCTTTGCTGTTGCAGCTGCACGTATGTCCTCACCTTGTGAAAGTGGCGAGCTAAAAGGAGAAGATCCGCCTGCCTGCGAATGCCATGTAGGGAGGCTGCGAGTTTGGCGCTGCTGTGCTTCTGAGGGAGTGTCCCCCGCATGACTCCACCCACAATCTGCACTTGACACGTCACCCAGTACCAGCTGTGTATGAGGCACCAAGAAACTGATCCCACCCCCCGCCTTCCTACGCATATATCGTGTGCGTGAAAAAAAAAAAGAAAGATGGAAATGTGTCTGTTGCTCCTGCGGCAGACGCAGTGTCCTTCTTGGTTTTCCCCTTGCCATCGATGACAACAGTGGTAGTGGCAAGAGGGCGACGCATCGCAGAGGAGGAGGAATTCTAAATGTCAAGGACAGTTTCAACAGGCAGCGGAGAAAGTGGTATTTAATTTGTACACCTCACGCGGAAAAATAATAATAATAATTCAGAAATAATTACAGTTGGAATACAAAACAACAACAACAAGAAAAAAAAAACTGTTCCAAAACCATAAGAGAGGAATCAGCGGCAATCTTGTGCCATGTGAATAGAACTGAAGAGCAACAAATACAAATAGTGGTAATGATAAACACCTACATAGGGACTGTGGTGCTGCAAAAAAGTGAAATAAGTCCGGCCCACGTACGTGCACCGTTTGCGACACTCCTCCAGTGTGTTTCCTCTGATGATAACTCACACAACGGCTGTCAGAACCGCCGCAATGTGGGGGGGAACTTCACGACCCAGTTCGCACGCACGCTGCATGCGCATACAATGTCGCTTCTCGTCGGTTTCCCACGCGGACTGCATAAACTCCTTGTTGCTCTTTAAAAGAAAACACAAACAAAGAACCCTCCACGACTCTGGCGCACCTCTGCCAGAAAACACTTCATCCAGCAGTCGGTCAAGCACCAAGGAAGAAAAGATCTTGAATAGCAGGGATCCTGTGGACTGCAGAACATACACGGAACGCTCCAACTCCACTGCAAAGCCCCAATTCCTGACGGAAACCAAACCACCCGAGTCAATGGTATCTGCATCCTCAATGAGAAACACTTTACTCAGATCCAAAATCCAGGTAGCGGCACTGCAAGGCGTCAGCTTATGTGCCACGACAAGGTGAGTCACAAGGTAGGATAGTAGCCCCAGCGGAGGAGATCGGGATCCCTGAAACCAACTCCCCACCACCCGCGCACACTCGCACCAGTCCTTGACGGGTAGGAGTTTGGAGCGTAGTATCAGCTGCAAAAACACCCCATTGTTAGCAGTGGGCGACAGGTATTCAGACTGTGAGGATATGGTTGCCAGGCTAATCTGTAGTTTTCTGTATCGGCGAATGGCCTCCTTCTCCCAATCACTTACAGCGACATCGAGGACAGTCTCACTGCCGCTTTCCTCATGCTCCTCTATTTTATTAGCTCGCGGCATTGACGCCGTCAGCGTCGCTACGGGACAGCAAGCCAGTGTTAAAGGCTGTGACTCTGGAACCAACTGATTCCAGGATGCAGCTGCTGCATGATGCATGTGACCAGCGTCCCAGTTACTCTGACGAAGAACAAGGAAGCAAAAAAGAGAAAAAAAAGAAGAAAGTCTACTACACGGCAGGTAAGTTCCCTACGTTTAGGCAATGTTGTCGCCCTTTTCTTGTCTTTCTCCCTGAAGAAAATGGAGAAAGAAAGGGGGCAGGAAACACACAAATAAACAAGCAAAAACGTAACGTAAATAGCATTTCCACCCCTTGACAATGCTTAAAAGTGTTCCCCCACATTGGGAACGTGGACAGCGCAACACACGTGCCAATAATACAAACAACACGTCAAGACACCTACACCTACACACACACACACACAGACTATCCGGGGATGACTATTGTGACGTCTATTGCAAGCGCTGGGGACGTCCTCAGACACTCCCTGGCAACAGATACACTGCACATGGCCATCACCTCATTTTGTGTGTGAACAAACAATTTCAGCGGTCCAGGCTCGCCGTCATCTTGCCGCATTTCAGCTACGGCGGAGAGATTCCGCCAGCACTCCGGGCAGGGAAAGACAGCCCCACTTACAGGTGGTGGTCGATTGACGCCCCTACTATCATCCACAGGTCTGTTTCCAGGCCCAAGATGACTGCAAAAGTTCTTGTTCACGTGCTGTGGACACGATGCCGGTGCCGGCGATGCGTATAAATACACGTCGGTGATGGCTGAGTAGCGGTGACCACTTGCGGCCGCCACGCCAAGCGCGTTCTGCTCCGCACATCCCCTAAGAATTCCCTTTAACGTTTTGCCGGCATTGAATTGACGATGAAGGGCATGATTCACCCCTGTCGCGCAGAACACGGCATCCATGACGTGTGTGGGGGCAGTTAACGTGGAACGCCGGTGGGCAACAACAGAGCAGGCAACAAGAGTTTTTGTATCGTCCTTGACTCCTTCAGCCACCAACAATGCAAGGCGTCGCAACTGGTGCTGATGGTATGCCGCCAGTGCCGAGGAACGCCACATATGAAGCTTCTCCCCCTTTGGGGAAAAAAGGGGCACTGCTTGGCGCGGCTGCGCCAGTGGAACTCGGTGCAGCGACGGTACACACACCCGTGACGCCGCGCTACCGCCTCGACGCATCGCTGCCCTTACGTTGCCAACGCACCACCACCACCACCGCCAACCCCTCCCCCACAGTGCTCGCAGCAACCGAAACAAAACAAGGAATACAAAAAAAGAAAGCAAAAAATAAATGTACAAGGAAAATGCGGCATTGCAAATGCACAAACAGAGAAGAGGGAACGAAGCTGCATGTGAAGAAAAGGCATGATCTGTCAAGTAAACAAATGATGACAGAGGCAAACCCCAATAAAAAAAGACAATCAAACAAAGGCACACACCCAAAGGTATACACCAACAGACGGAAAGAAAGAAGGAAAAGACAACAATGGACTTTGCTTCCCGCTTACTCAACGCTCAAGGAGGACAGTGGCCGTTTCCATATCTTGGAAACGAACTGGAAACTGGTAGCGAAGGTGTGTGGCCAGAAGCGTACACCCGTGAAGCTATGCCCTCCTGCATTGTTAATTTCCTCCCCTCCCGCACGAAGAATTCCATACGGATCCGTATCCATTTTTAATCGTTGCTGCAGCGATGTTGCCTGCGCGTCCGTTAGGCGCACGATGGGCGATATCACCTCTGGACTTACGGTTTCGTGCGTGTACGCAAAGGGGTGGCATATCACAGCCTCACCCTTGTACTGTTGCTTCACCTCATTGCTTGCGTTTACACGAGAAACTGTTTCCCGTACAATAAATTCATTTTGCTGATACGTAAACGAGCAGGTGCAGTACACAAGCGTTCCACCCGGTTTTAGCTGCGCATAACCATTTTGAAGTAAGCCCAGTTGAAGCTGAAGAAGTGTTGAGAGCTCTTCTCGAAACTTCGCATCTGTTTCATCCATCTGAAGAGCCAAGTTTAACCGCCACATGCGGTGTGCGTTATCAATCCCTGCAGAAGCCGGTGCCAGCGTATCTTTAGCTGTGGCAAAAGGTCTCCTTGTGGCGTCATTGAGAAAAATATGTGCTAAGGATCCATCATGCGAGCACTCTACGTCAACAAGAACTCGATCAAATCCCTGATGCTCGTTCATCCTGTTCTTAACACGGCAGAGCATCTCCCTAGCCGGATCTGTGGAGAAGGCCACCCTTATTTCTTTTACTTCCTTCACACCACTGGACGCCGTCGCGTCGCCTACACTGGCATCAACTCGTCGCTTTTGAAAGCGCCGCAGTTGCCGTTCTTCCCACAACGTTAAGCCGTTCCTTCCGCGCGTCTGAGAAGATGGCTTCTCATCAAGAACTGCAGCAGCCCCCTGCAGAGAGAACAAAGTTCCATCGGCGGCAAACAGGCAAACATTATTTGTCTGATGCTTTTTGAGCACTGACCGTGCAGTAAACAAGCGAGCCAAGCTAATGTCCGTCCCAACTGCCACGCCTGTTTCGCCAATGGCGTCCGCGATGAAGCTCAGCTTCATCCCGGGAGAGCAGCAGACATCCCACACTAGATCCCCGTAAGACGGACGCAGCGCCACCACCGCCGCCACGGAAGCTGCATCCATTGCGGAGACAATGCCACTTTCGTACATGGCCGCGCGGCACATCGCCACGCCTCGGGGAATGGCGTAGCAATACGGGTGTGGGAGCCACTCCACCTCCTCTACACTGGCAGATGAGATACCAAATGAAGCCGCAATCCCAGCCCTGATTCGGTACCTCTCCTGACTTGTTGCATTCTCAAAAGCGAGAATATTATCCTCTGCAGGAATCACAAGGTCCTTCACATATTGTGGCCGTAAACGGATATACCTCGGGATCGTTGCTAGCACCTCGCCAAGCTCGTAAAAGAGCTGCGGGGGAAGATGATGAGAGTGACAATAACGGACAAACTCCTCAGTGAATGTCTCGGGATATCCTCGAGTCGCCGCATCACACGAGACAGACATGATTTGTCCTCCTTAAAGCTGAGTTGTGTTGGAGCAAACAGGCCAAAGAGGAAAACGAAGAAGAGCAAAGCCAGTACATATCTATGGGTGTCACTAAGCAAAAAAAAAAGCAAAGCAAGAATGAAAAAAAAAAAGACGAGAAAACACATCCAGCATCCAGTGAATGCATATTCCTTCACCGAGACCATTCACATAC